GACTTAAGCTTTGCAGTCAGTAAAGAAAATGATTAACATGTGAATCAAACATATTTACTGAAATTGGGTGCAATAATTGACTCAAACACGAAGAAATCCTCTTACAGGGAGCATTCAAAACATGGCTGAAGTCAAAGGGAAGGAGGCAACATTATGCGAACTCTCATTAAGGTGAAGTGACTGCACCTGAGAGGGGCGGTTCCTTTCCAAGGAGCGCTTGTTTTGTGTCTTTTCGGCTAGAGGCATGCTCACGTGGTTCTTCTGCTGGGGATTTCTGACAACCTCGTTTTGGTATTTGTGTTATGATATCTGTATCTAAAAGTAGGCTTACTTTCATTCAATAGATGTCTCTCTTGTTACATTTGTTATTGCACATTGAGTTTCATATAGTTATTTTATATTATATATTTTGATATTCTTGAATTCCTATTTTATATTTGATGCTTTATATTGTTATGTCATTTACATATTTTATGTTCATTAATTACTTGTCACCTGATTGGAGGTGCAACTGTTATTTTGTTGTCAGAGAAAATACAAAAACAAAGCTCTCTTAGATCTTAAATATTGAAAAAAAAATTGTTATGTTTAATACTTCAGGAAGCGTATTTATGTTTATTTATTTATCTGTGTGAATTTGCAAAATATTTCAAAATCCAGGTCAGAAATTATGTCTAACATCAAAAACACAGCAAGGTTAGAAACACTTTATTAGTACAAAAGCCTCATATCCTCACACACATAACAGCATTGTAGCACATCGCAGCACTCTCCTCGGTTCCTGGCCGGTTCTGTTCAGTTTAAACATCTTCAGCATGTTTTGGCTGGAGAAAATAAAAAGGTAGTTTTTATTTCATTTATTTATTGAATAGTTTTTTTTCTCATTTTATATTATGCAAATATCAACTGTTAACAATAGCTTGTTACATTTAACCTAAAAGAATGCACAAGTTAAAACTTTTATTAGATTTCTGAAATTATTTCTATAGCCAACAGATGTCACTTTAGAGCTGGATTTCATTTCCCTTACCTTGGATTTGCCACAGTTGGTGATCTTGTTGCCTTTAGTGAAAAATAGGATTAAGAGATTAGTTATTCCCAAAGCTCAGAACTATTGTGCTTTTCTTTTAACAAAGCTGCTCTGATAACAAACCTGATGGAAACAGAGCTGTAGGGTTGGAGCAATATATACATTTTATCCCCCATCAGTCAATGAAATTGTGTTTTGATGCACTTTTATCTGTCCAGCAACATGCTGTATGATCTCAACCCACTCACAAACACACAAACACACACACAACTAAGATCATCTTCTCTTTCACACTGTTATGTCTTCTGTGTCCTTGTATCAGACTCCTCAAATTCATATTTGTTGCTGTTGCTCAGCTGTTGACTTACCTGCCAACAGAAGGATGGAAAGGAACACGATGATCCCGGCGAAGGCCAAACCTCCAACACGTAGTGTGTAGTAGTCTACATATTCACAGAGAACAATGTCACCACATCATCACTGTCTTTCATTTAACCTGCTGTAGTCTCTTTCCTTTGCTTTCCTTCAAACCATTTTAAGCTCTGCCTGTGCATTTTTTCCTTTTCGCCCTCTACAATCAAGCTCCTGTTACTTGTTTTTTCCCATCTCTCCCTTTATTGACCCATTTAACAACTATGTGCTCGCAGAAACCCCTTTTATCCTGTGCATGCTTTCCACATTCTCTTTTTAGGGCACTGGCAGAAGTTAAATATTTAAACTATTTTATCCTCGCAGATACACTTTCAAAGTTTTAGTCACTTACCGTATACAAAGTCTGCATCAAGGTCGATGTCTGCACCTGGGGATAGACAGAGAATGGACGTGGTTTGAAAGAAACACAGTAAACATGTAGTAATTCTACCAAAACGTAGCATGCTGCAAGGAAATATTATAAAATCCTTTTTTTACACATAATTAATTAGCCTACATTTAATTTATCCAATTCACTTGTAGTAATACTGACACACTACCAGCTGAATGGCTCGTTATATAAGTAAGTTAAGAAAATAGGTCATAATCAGTATTAGTCCATTCCCTGCAGGTGTTTTTCCACACAGACAGCATGCTATTTCGGGTTAGTTTGAGATAGGCTGCAAATCAGCTTTAGAACTACAAATGTTCCAACGAATAAAGGCAATAACACCCATCACTGTAACTTTGTCACGATATTGCCACATGTGCAGTGCCACTAGCATGAGCTATTTGCTGTATGCTGAAATGAGAAGGTGAGCCTTAACTGAGGCTGCTGGACTCCAGCTTGCTTATGTTACTCATAATACAGTTAGCAGTTAATAAGTCAACCTTGCTCTAACAAGGTACGTTTTTGTTGCTCAACTCCAAATCAGAAAAACAAGAATGGCTGTGATCTTTCAAATACTATGTCCTTCAAATGTTGTCATATTAAAGTGGCTGTCTCTCCTGTTCGTAGATAATCAGCAGTTCCGGCGCTGAGTAGCTTACCTTGAGAAGACATGATGCCTGGTCTGTATGTGTGTTCTGCTGACAAAACTGGAGGGACATAACGCAAACAGTTAACAAAAGGCTGGTGATAACAGCAGGTGGCAGCTGGTGATAGCCATGGCATCTTTTTTTAATCTTGTTTTTAAATAATGACAAAAAAAGTGTTCACCATCAAATCTGGTCCCTCAAAACTGTTGTTTGCAGGGAGGGATATTTCTGTGGATTTGGTTTCAATCGTCCCTCCATTTAAATTAGATTTGAGACTTGTAGAGGCTCGTTTAAATGGGCTTATTCACTTTAGATGAGATGTAGTTGAAAGCTTGGAAACTCTATATGCCCTGATAAATTGCCTCACTGGGTTCCTCTACTACAGACTTCGGCCCAAAGTGATTGCGTTGCTCTTCACTAAGAACTTTAACGGGCTAATGGCGATATTGATCCTCGTTCCACCCCCACCCTTTCTCTCTGCACCCTTCACGCACACACACCAGCTTCTCGTTTGATCTACATCTCCTGACCTATAATCATTAACTTACACAGATTAACAGACGAAAAATTTCCCTTGCTGTCTCCTTTGTGTTGAAGCATGCCACTGTGAATTGTTGACTTCAGTGCTTTCATTTATTATGTTTCTGGGCCTTTTCAAAGCACCACTGAGCATACCGGGACAGTTACTCATTAATATATTACGGCTCCAATAACCATTAACCTTGAACCTTGCACACTTTGACAGAGGTTATAGATTTGACAAAGAAGAGTAGCTAACACCCAGCTAATAATGCAGAATTGATACGCAATGATTTTGGCAGATAACCACACCACCCCTAACGTGCAGCAATGAATCACTGTTATTAGATTTCTTCAATGGGGTGCAATTAACAAGAACAATGACAACAGAGAAATGTCTGTCCTAACCCACTTTCACAAGACATATTAATTGGAACTTGTGTGCTTTTATATGTTGCCTCATTAAACAATGGAGGAACTAGTAAAGTTAAACTTCGCATTGTGAGAATGACAATAAGTTCTCTTTGACATAGAAATACACGTTATAGACCATCTAACATCATCTAACATCTCAAAGAAACATGGATTCACATCGTAATCATCATTTTACCAACTCATAGGTATCTGAAATGGACACAACTGATTTATTTGTATGACCTGCACATCTAATTTAACATTTTGTTTTGGAAATTAAGTTTTTGCTCACCTGAGTTGCTGAAGGCTCTATATTTCTTCTGCCCAGGTGTGTGTGTGTCCCCGTCAGTGCCAGAGGTAGGTGCTCCACCCTCTAACAAACACACACACACACACACACACACACACACTCATACACAAACCACCTCTCCACGCCCACATCCATATTTCAGTCATAGCCGCTTCTTTTCATATCTACACAGTCTCATAAAGTTTGTACTTTGATGCCAATAAATAGTATATCAGCCAACCTTTGGAATCGTAGTAGAATGAGCAGTACATTACTGGCTCTGCTGGTGAGGAACACACTTTCTGATATAGTTTCATAGCACCAAGTAGCAGCTCATAACCTTGACTGACATTGATAGGAAATTATCAGATTGATTTCAAGTGCTGTTAGAGGGCTTCTTGTGAAATCCGCTTTTCTAGGCTAAGATGTTCAGGCATAAAGACCCTGAAGAGAATTCTGAAAGAAAAGTGATTAAGATTTACACTAAAGTCTGGTCTTCATCTAATTGAACACAAAAACACATTAATGTGAATGGTCAGACACTTTTATTTGTTTCTGCCAAAAGCAAAACAGGTAGCACCACAACAAGGCCTCATGCGTAAAATGAACATAGCGTTTAAGTGTACAGCAGTCGTCTTTGAAACATTCCGACTTAAGATTGATTAAAGCCTAACCTGACAGGAGATTCACAACAAGGATTGGTCATTTGTTCTCCCGCTATGATTTGGCTTACGTTAATGTAGTCTTGCACATAGATATTGTCAATTTTACATTTCACTTCTCTCAAACTCAGCATTTTCTCTCTTTCTCAGAAAATGTAATACTTGTATGGCCACTCAAAGCATAATGGCATCAGAGAGACTGAGCAAGCAATTTAATAGACAAACAAGGAAGAGGAAAGAAAGAGACCCAGGCTTAGTCGATTTAGAACTAGAGAATGTATGCAGGGGAACTAATCATAGTCTGCTGGAGAGTAGTTTAATCCTGGCGGAGCCAGTGACGTAGCGATGAAGTAGATGTGTGGAGAAAAAGGCAGTGAGACAGCTGAAGCAAGAGCTCTCTCCATCTTGGATGGTAAAACACTGCAGTGGAGGAGCTCATGCAGATACCTGCAAACTATTACTGTGCTCAGTCAGAGAGCTGTGGCAGTTGAGATTGTCTTATATAAGGCTCATCACATTAACATGTAGAGATACACATGCACTTGGGATATATACACAATCATATATATATATATATATATATACACAATCATATATATATATATATATATATATATATATATATATATATATATATATATATATATATATATATATATATATATATACATACAGGACATACACACTATATACCCACATGTGCACGCAAACCAACCATTCAATGGTAGACCTAAATTAAGGATATTTTTATATATATACTTATATATGTATACAGTATATATGCATACATGTTATAATCCAAATATGACAAACATTATCCAGGACAGTTGACAAAATAAACAACATATTGACGTATTCTAAAACCTAAAGGCAATAGATAAATACAAAACAAAGAACAGCAGACCACAGAACATTAAAACCTCTTCTCAGTCTTCAAAGACAATCTGGTGTCGAAGGTGCTACTGGCTAAGACAAAGAACCGGAGTGAGAGACTGTCACAGAAAGGCACAGGAACGGACAAGAGCACTGAGGGACTGGCACGGTCACAATGGAGCACAATGGGCGGAAGGTTTTGTCTCAGAGGCTAAACATTTTATATACAGTACATATTACCCTTCTTAACATATAACTTCCCTGTTACCCTTCCATAGAACCACTTATAATAATCACCCATGGTCATTTCAGAAGGCAGCTCAGTCCGGTGGAGTTGCTTCAGTTCTCCGCTGGAGTCTCTTTGGCAGCCGCTGCAGCTGAAAGGTCAAAGGTGAGCAATTTAGTTAAAGCACGGGTGCAAAACATTAAACCTGCCTAAAAATTCCAGGCCTTCTCTCTCTCAGTCATTCGCTTACATCCATCACTCAGAGGACTAGTGACAGCCCTGCTACTCACTAAGAGTTGGTAATACTCACAATATTTAAGATTGTGACATTTTTCTAATAAACACTATGAGCTTTGTTTCTAACCGTCTACCACTAAGTACATTTACTCAAATACAAGTGAAGTGGGTTTTTGTGTGTTATATCCAATTTAATTTGAGCAAAAGATCTGAATATTTATCTTTCTTTCTGTCTTCTCTAAAATTTCAACCTTTGAAATAAGTTAAAAGTTGAATACTTGTGCAAATACTGTTGAATTATAGGTTTCAATTCCCTCACTCTATTCTATTCTACTATTCTATTCTATTCGATTGCAATCTCGGAACCAATCAGCTTTCGGTTCGACAGCGTTGACGTCGCATTTGAAAGTTTCTTTCATTTAAAACTGGGAAAATCTGAAAAGGTGGAACATCCTCAAATGCAACGGGGAGGGATATTAAAACACTACATGCTGAAACTACAATTAAAGGGACAGTTCACCTCAAAATCGAAAAATGCATACATTTCCTCTTAGCTGTATTTATCAATCTAGATTGTTTTGGTGTGAGATGCCTGGTTTTGGAGATGTCGGCCAGAGAGATGTCTGCCTTCTTTCGAATGTACAACATGACCCTGTTAGTCAAACTATTCCATAGATATTGTTGGAAACAGTTTCATCGTTTTCATTGTCGGAACTATGGTTGAAAGAAAATAGTTCCTCCATGAAACCGCTCACGACAAGATCTGCTTTGAGCACCATAAGCCGAGTGCCATATGGTCTGATTATACTTTAGAGAAGGGAGACATCTCTACAGCTGATATCTCCAAAACCAGGCCAGTCACACCAAAACAATCTAAATTGATCAATAGCACAGGTAAGAGGTAAGAAAACTATGTATTTTTGATTTTGGGGTGAAATTTCCCTTAAATGTTATGATAACCTAATTTTGACAAAATGTAAAGGTGACAAAGTTTTCAACAACTGTTTGCTGGTTGATTTCTATACTTTATGAAAGTGAATTTAAACCTTGGAAGGTATGAAGTCAAACTTGTGATATGCCTTGGAGAAAGGTCAGCAGTTACCTCAAGTTTAGCTTGTATGTTCTCTGTCTCTCTCTCTCACACACACATACAGTACAGTTCAACATGTGCGGACACATGCACACAGAGCAAATGCCCCCCATCCTCCCCTGTCCAATGGGCACTCCTTAAGGGAAACTCAATTATGGATGTGTGTCTCGAGGTGAGCCAGAGGTGAAAGGAGCTGACAGAGTTAAAATGTGCATCTTACCCTTGGAGACGATCAGGTTCTCCTCCTGTACCTCCTCGTCTCTGGGGGCCCTGAAGAGAGGATCCACAGGTTGTCATATGACTCAAATCATGTTGTATGAAAAAAGACGTTGCAAAAGGCTTTGTTTGCTTGTTGGTTTTTTTTAATCAGAGAGGGACACTGACATACCTGGGCTTCTGGTTGATACTGCAGCGGCATCGTCGACCTAGACATTTGAGAAATCATCAGCTGTGTTGATCAGAGGTCTAATTAGTTAGATGCATTGTCTGTGTCATCACTGTTAACAGTGGTTCACTCTTACCCGATGACAAAGATATATACGTATATATAATATATTACGTTATAATCAATAAAAATAAACTGTGAAAACAAGGAGTAATAACATAGTGTGGTAATAATGATTCATTCCATTACTGATAATAATTTTCAATTTGATTGTAACGCTCAAATGCATTGAGTGCTTGTACACATAATAAAATGATACCCACAGAGAGAGGTCAACTTACTAAGGATGAGAAGAATGCCCAGTGTGAACAACACCACGGCAAACGCCAATCCCCCAATCCTCAGGCTCTCATAGTCTACAGAAGAAGACGATGACAGAATGAGAGGTACAGGAGAAGGAGAAAGACATTTAATCAATGTGCTATTCATTGCAAAAGGTATATTTATGTGTAGACACTGGCCGGTGCTTACAGAAAACACAGACTTTTTTAAACTTACCATAAACAAATGGGTTTTCAACTGTCCCCTTGTCATCTGTAAAAATGTAATGGAAACCACATATTTAGAACCAATGTGTTCAGATTCGATCAATCTGGTTAAAAACACAACAAAAGACAAGTGAGATGAAACATATATTTTCTAAATTGTAATCCTGTGTCTCTGTGTTGATTTTTCCCTTATCTCATGCTCCATACAGAATGTGTATTCTTTGAGTAGTTTTACAACATAATTCCTCTTCCTGTAAAATGTAAAATTATTTTTGATGGCTCATCTTGAACTTGGTGGCAGTTAAACAAATGCATCCAATCAAATGGGATTTGGGGTGACTAGCTAACCTCTGCAATCATATTAGACCACACTTGACTGTGGGTAGCTAGGAGAGAAATATTGTAGTATGGTAGAATAAGGGGAGCAATTAGATTTCAGCTGTTTATTTCCAAAGAATGTGGTTGAGGTCTAAATTGTTCATCTAACCCATATCCTCTCCCTCCTGATCAGCAACATGAGTGAAGGGCATTGTACTAAAGGTAAAGAGTTGAGTCACCCTTCACCGACTTTGTAAAAGACCTCAACCATAACCATAGTTCATTTGTCAAATACTTGTCTGGCTATAAAGTTTGAAAAAATAATGCTATAGCAAACCCTCAATGCATTACTAGTTCATATATTTTGTTATGTATAAATATACATAATGTACATACATTAATATATTACAGATTCCTTAGCAGCTCTCTTTCCTACCAAATAACCACTCTCATCTCTTCAACAATGATTTCAATCTATAAAATAATAAAATCAACACAGTTGGATCTGGTCATTCTTGGGTTTAATCCATACATCTGACTGTTCGCTGCAGTAGAGCAATCCATAAGGGTCTGATTTGATCTGGAAACCAATGGAGCCACCAATGTGGCTTTTCGGACAGCGTGTGACCCCATTAGAGATGACATCAAGTGTACTCACGCTGCTCACTGATCTCTGATAAAGCTGAGAGGCAGCGAAGAGAGGAGGAAGTGGTTTGAGTCAGAGGGTGGAAGGAAAAAGGAAAAAGGAGAAACACAGGAAATCAGGTACAGTGGGAGACTGTGAGTGAGAAATATGTCAACACTATGTATTTCTCTATCTTTGCTTTGTCTACCACAAGCTTCATCATCTATTTATAGTGTGTAACTGTGAGCATGTGTTTATGTGTTTTACATTTAATCATACACTATAGGCAGACCTCACACGCACAGTCAGTGACACAGCAAACCTGTGAAACCCGCACACGAAGCTCCAAAGCAGTAATTGATGTTTTGCTACGAGCCCACACCCAGAGAGTGCCTTTTCATGTAACGTCACTCCCTGACGCAACACTGCCTCCCGATGGACAATTGGTGTGTTCAAGCCTGTGTGTTTGTATGCGAGTATGTGGGTGCTTGTGTGAGTTGGGGGGGGGGGGTACTTACCAGCCACACACACCAGGAGTGAAGAGAGGAAGAGCAAAATAGTTTCCATGGCGACTGTTGACATAGAGTAATAAAGAGGGAGGGTGAGAGGGAATGAAAAAAAATATAGTGAAAGAGGTCTGTTTTAGGAAGCTACACTACACCAGCATATATTCCCCTGAAACAATCAACACATATACACATAACGTTTATACACACACACACTAGCACACATTCAATATCACAACGATCCACGTTCAAAGCCTGCATACATGTTCTCTTTTCCTGGCAGAGATTACTCTTGCCTCCCTGTGGACATCTCACAACCTTGGCCTATTTTCATGGAGGCTATTTAATGCACACATGCCAATTGCGTCCCCTATAAAATGTGAAGATGAACCATTTATGTCTAACTTAACTACAAAATATTCACGGCCAACTCAAAACACCCTATTCCCCCCCCCCCCCCTATAATATCTGCTACTAAACTGTGATCAAAGTGTTGTGGTTTTGTTTTGGCAAGTCAAAGCACTACATCTGAACATAAGAAACATTGTGTAGATAGAGTAAGTAAATGTGTATTCAACATTTATTAAACTCCCTAAAAGACAGGTTTTTAAAAGGTACTGATTTCTCATTGTGAACGTGTTACTAAATGTAACAATTCTACAAATGCACACTTGGTGGCAACAACAAGTCATAAATCAATATCTATGAGCAGTATAATTCCCCACCAAAATCTGCAGTGCAAACAAAGTGTCTGGTGATGTAGTTATTATACATCAACCTTTAGGTCTCCCTCCTGTCGTTGAAAGCTGGCTTTTCTAAATGTAAGTAAATGCCGGCACTAGCAGGGAGTATTGAGAGTGATTGTTCAATATAGGCGAATACAGGTGGGGAACAAGATTTGACAGCAATATATTTGATGAGGCATGTCTAATCTCCACAGTGAAATAATAGAAATTGACAAATCTACGGTAAAACATGTATTCTTAGGCCATGGACGCATTTGTATAAAGCTCTCGAGTCCAAAAGTTTTCTTTAACTCAGGCGTTACCACTCTTGTCTGACAGTGCCACCTGTCTGCCTACATGTCATCTGACTGTCTCAGTGATTATCAGTTGTAGAGGACATGTAGTGCACTTAAATGAGTCCATTAGCAAAGCTACCGAGGTAGCATTCCTGCCCAGTTGTGGTTTGTATGTTGACGCTTCGTATATTTAATTTGTGAGTCATCGAGCAACAGACTGCTAACAAGGACTTTTATGAAATAATGTGACAGAAGATGACAACAGAGGAACCGAAGGCCTATGGCATCCATTAGACTAATGGCATCTAATCTTAAAATGGAAATAAACCCTATGTGAGGTTGGACTGAATCGTTAAAGGGACAGTGTGTAACATTTAGGGGGGGGGGGGGGGGGGGGGGGTGTGTTTTATAATTCTTTCGTTCCTCTGTTGTCATCTTCTGTCACATT